AATACAATTGATTTCAACATACCTAAATTATATTGTGTAACCTTATTAGGTTCATTTATCAGTTCTTGTAGATCCTTGTAGTTTCTTTAGCAGGTTTTATCTGACCTTGTAGAGTATATATGTTGAGTACTAAATTTCCTTGCTTCCTTTATTTTATTTTATTTTATTTTATTATTTTATTTTATTTTTTAGAGACTTTATTTATTTATTTGACAGAGAGAGACACAGCGAGAGAGGGAACCCAAGCAGGGGGAGTGGGAGAGGCAGAAGCAGGCTTCCCGCCGAGCAGGGAGCCCGATGTGGGGCTCGATCCCAGGACCCTGGGATCATGACCTGAGCCGAAGGCAGACACTTAACGACCGAGCCACCCAGGCGCCCCTCTTTGCTTCCTTTAAATACTATTGGACTTTGATCTGACAGGAAGTTGTTTCTATAGCAGGTTGATCCTCTCAAGACTTGTTTATAAGCCTTGTTAGGGCAAGTCTAGAGTAGACTTTAGTCCCAGGGCTAGTTGTGCCATAGTATGAGGCAAAACTCTCTGGAGTTTCTCCTGACAGCCCCAGGGCGGACTCTGCAGTCTGGCTGTTCAAAATTTAACCGTCCCCCAGCTCTGGATTAGCTTGGGCAACTTTTTAGCATCTATTTCTCTAATTATGTTTTGCCTAAGCTCGTGGAGTTTTATCCATGCATGCGTGGTTAAGTATTTAGGGACAGACTCTGGCCAGGCTTTGCCTGACTTCAGAGAACTTCATCGTCCACATATGTGACTGGGGATTTGAGGACAAACTGCAAGGAACCCCGTGCACATTTCTGAGGCACTTTATCGCTAGAGCTCTCTCTTCCCTGGCACTCAGCCTCACATATTTCGGCCACCTCATCCCCGCTAAACTCTGCTTGGTCTCCTCGACTTAGAGAAAATGCTATGCTTTGCTTAGATTCTCCTTCCCGGGCTGCAGTCTGGAAAATGTCTCTGAGGAGGTCAGAGAACTGGGTTCTATGGTTCACCTCATTTGTTTCCTTTTTTCCAGGGATCATAGTCCTCCACTGTTTATTGCCCGGTTTCTGAAGACAGTTGCTCAACACATTTTGTCTTGTTATTTCCAATAAGAGGACAGTCTTTCAATGACCTCATCGGAGGTGGAAACAAGTCCCCTGTCTTTTTTCCTATTTATGTCATTCATTTTGCTATCTAAGTTTACAGTTTGGGTTCACTCTAGTTCAACTCCTTGAAGTAAGCTTTGAAGTAAATTAATTACATGGGACTTCAATATATCTGGAAAATCCCTTTTCTCTCTCAATAAATTAATAGCCATATAATGCGAAAATGATCTTACAATTCCCTTGATTGTCTCTTAAACTTTCTAAAATAACAACAAAAAGACTTTGCTTTAACAAAGTAAATAGGTTTTCAAGGAAATTGCAAAAGAGACTGATACATATCCTATGCCAATTGCCCAGGAAGTTCAGAAAAATTCTTCCATATAACACTTTTGCCTTCAAATTCCAAAGAATACATCACCACTATAAATAATATCCTTTTATGCTGCAAATCTGCAAGATAAGATGACTCTCACCCTCTATTCCCACCCCTCCCCCCAACTTTTTTCCTTTTCTTTATGGAGAAAAATCCTTGAGGTGATTTAAGTATAACTTTGTCAGTTAATATTTGTCAAAGTATATAGTCATACTGGGTAAAGTTAAAGAATTTGTTGGCCATATAAGTATCAAACTGTAGGGGCGCCTGGTGGGCTCAGTCAGTAGAGCATGTGACTCTTGATCTCAGGGTTGTGAGTTCAAGCCCCCTGTTGAGTGTAGAGATTACTTAAAAATGAACATTTTTTTTTAAAGTATCAGCTGAGAGTAACTTTGGAAAAAAGAGATAATCAAATTATGACACCGCTATACTTATAATGAAGAACATACAAGCATTTAAAATTATCACTTTGATTTGATACTCAGTCCACAACTGATATCTGTTATTGTTTTATATATATGTACATATGTATGTATGTATACATACACACACACGTATGTATGTATATGTGTGCGTATGTGCACACATGATACATAATAGAATACTTATTATCTGACGCTGTGCAGAGGAGAGCGGATATTCCTGGCAACTGTAGATTTAAAGTGATCTTGCTGTTTATTTTTCTAACATTAATAGAGAATATCAGCATTCATTTTCTCTTTTTGCATAGATAATTGAAAAGAATATATTCTTTTCTTCAAAAAGAGAAAGGCTTTAAGAATTCTAAAGTTCAAGTTTTTCTCAGAGGGCATCTGACCTGACTCACAGTGGAATTATTATGGACTTCATCTTTACTCTGCACGGACAGTGCCCTGAGACAGAAATCTTCAGCCCAGATTTTCTTCGAGAGGCAGGGCAGGGATTGCAAATGGAGTCCGAATCCAGGAAGAGCCATTACGACCACATTGCTTGTTAGGCATTTCAGTCCCGATAAGAAGAACAGACTCAGAGAATGAATATCCGACTAAAAGAGGGAGGGTAAATGAGAGGCGGTTGTTAACACTTCTTTCTTTTTGACAACAGTAATAATAAATCTCCTTTCTAGTGTTAAAAGCCTGCAATCTGTTCATTCATTTCACAAATATTTTTTTGAGCATCTGGATTGCAATTACCATGAAGTCCAGCAGGATAACGTGAGACCTCATCACTAGATAGGAATGTGTGTGTACATACATACACCAGTTAGTGTCTGTGTGTGTGTCCACATGTGTTGGTGGCAGGGCAGGAAACTGCCACAGCGGTTCATGAGCAAACTGCAGGGGAAATGAAAGCTTATTCTTATAAGTATATTAACATACATTAACCTGGAAAGTAAATTTAGGTAAAGGAAGTGCAGTACTCCTACATATTATCGATCATGATTACTGTTTTCTTCTCTTTTCTAAAATGGCTTGGGATCGGCATCAACTTTCTGCGTATCAACAAAGAAATTGATTTTGAATTATAAAGTATGTACCTTATTATAACAGAATTTATTAGATTTAAGGGTTCACTTACTTTTAGTAAGTAGAAAAGCAATTAAAAAAAAAAAAAACCACTGACACTCCAGGGAGACTTCATAATAAAAAGCCCACACCTCATTATTTTGCCATAACAAAAGTCTTCACTCACTGGAAACGCCAAGCCCTCCAGATCTTCAGCACACTCTGGCATGTTGAAGGATACTCTTATAAATGCAGGAATCTCTAGGAGTACTACCTTTTGGAAAGTAGAAGAGAAAAAGGAATTCCATAATGTGACACAACAAAATCCAACCAAAGGGACATTTTTCTCAAGTCTGCTGTGATATCTGTGCCCTGAACATTTGTGGAGAATCAGCCTATCAGACACTACAAAGTACGTGGAGGTAGATTGACTGTAGGGATATACGAAATCCAGTATCTAGCAACAGAGAAATATAGCAAAAAGCATTGGCGTGTGCTTTCAGGCAAAATAAGTGATTATGTTTTGTACAGACATGTCAGATGCCCAGAGCCTGCCTTAAGGGTTTCAGAACGGTACATTGTTTTCATCCTCTGTTGTAATGTTGGCCCAACAAAATAAAACTCACACACTTAAAGTTTCAGGTTGACTAAGCCCATATGACATTTAACTCATTCAAATAATAACCATCATCAACAACGATGAGGACAATCACCTAGGTCATGATGTTAAAAGACCTTGAAAAAAATTAATAAAATGAAATAAATAAGTTTTCTTCCTCCAAAATAAAAACTATATTCCAGGTGTTAAACTGCTATGGAAATCATAAAAAAAAAATGTTAATAGGAAAAACACACAACCCATCAATAAAAACCTAAAGCCAAATAATCTTGAGCCAAGAATCAATTGCAAGCCATGATAGAGCTATTGAGGTTTTTTAAAAGTCACTTCCTGAAGAAACAGATATTTGGCAAAGAGATGGCCGAGCCTAAAACAATCTTAGTAGGTATGCATAGTTTTTGAATAGATGCTACCAATAGAGGTAGCAGTCAGTAATCCCTCTTACTTTCTCTCTCTCTTCTTCCCTCCCTCTCTCTCTCCCTTTCTCTCCCTCCCTCCCTTTCTTCTCTCCCTCTCTCACCTTCCCTCTCCCCCCTCTCTCTCTCTCTCTCTCTCTCTCTCTCTCTCTCACACACACACATGCGTGCACAAGATTGCAAACTAGATTCCCAAATATATTAACCCTTTAAGGTTTTCCTTTCCATTATTCTCTTTCTGCTGAGTTATTTTCCCCACAATTATTTTCTCAAGAGATATTCTTTGAACTAGGCAACCAATGAAATCACATAAATATACACCCACATAGAGAAACACAGACTTTTTTTGTCCCTCGGTTTTTGCCTCCTACCCATACTGGTTCTCTCTCTAAAGCAGTCTTTTATAATGTTATTCAAATAACAGGCCACCAGAAATGGTTGCCTCTCAGAGCGCACCTGTGTCTTTCATCAACTCTAATGGAAATTCTGGGAGCAGCCTACCGCTGCTAGGTTCAAGAGTCAAAGAGGGGACAGGGTTTTATGAATTTTTCAGATTGCTGACCAAGAAATATAGTTCATTTCCTACATTATCGACACCATTTAAAAGTGAAGGTCATAATATTTCTGGAACAGAAATTTGGTAACTTTAAAAATAAACAATAGCTTACTTTTATTTCAACACTTTCTCCGGTGTTTAAAAGGAAATACATTATCGAGGCCTTTTGCCAACAATTTTTTGGTAATAAAATAAATAAAAGCTAGTGTGTTGCATAATTCCTTTGCCAGTAAGGAATGAATAAATATAATCTATAATTTCAATACCCTATTCTTTTTTTATTTTTTAAAGATTTTGTTTATTTATTGGACAGAGAGATACAGCGAGCGAGCGAGGGAACACAAGCAGGGGGAGCGGGAGGGGAAGAAGCAGGCTTCCCGCCGAGCAGGGAGCCCGATGTGGGGCTCGATCCCAGGACCCTGGGATCATGACCTGAGCAGACGCTTAACGACTAGCCGCCCGGGCACCCCTCAATACCCTTTTCAACACTAGTTACAGATTTTCCGCACCACTGGTGGCTTATTTCATCCTCACACAGACAAATGCGTACAAGACAAGCCATTGTCCCCACAGCATTTTCTTATTATCTTGCTGAAATGTGGTGAAATGCATTACAGTTTCAGGTGACTTCAGGAATGTGGAGAAATACTTTGCCCATTCCCTGAGAAAAAGCTTCGTTATTTTCTTCATATGAATTCTGCTCCCAGTGATTGACTCTTGTATTAGCGTTTTGAGACCAAAAACTTTTCAGCAGACTGTTTTTCTAGGGTAAAGCTTTACTTATCACAGTCTGCGTTTTCTTCACTCGGGCCCCATTGCCACTGGTTAGAAGGAATAGGTGATTTTGAAAGTTTCTAATCAACAATGGCTACTTGCCTCAATTTGGCTAAGGCATCCTCCTCTGACCAAAGGAAGAATCTTCAAATCACTGATGGCTGGCAGCCCCAAAGGGTGCATAGATGAAGATCCAAGATCAACTTAGGGTATTTTGTGCTGTATATTACTTTACCACATTTCTACTGGGTCAGCTGTGCGGGGAAGCAGTTGGGTGTACTTACAAATAAAGTTTGAAGGTACCTAGATTTCCATGTACCCATTCAGAGATGCAGAGATGATAACCCTGCCTGTGCCTTTTGAAAAGAGCAGCAGTAGTCATCCTACTTAAGGAGAATCACAAGGGCCTTCCTCCCTTTCAGTCACCTCCTCTCCTGGCCATCTCCCGCCATGGACCCACCCAGACCAAAGCCACTGTATACAGAGACAGCGCCCATCCCTAAGACAAGAAATTGTCTTATGTACTGCCACAGTGACCCTGTTTCATTTCCTAAAGATCAGAGACCAACTCCACTTTGGACTGGTGCAACAAATCCCCAGGACAAAATGGCAAAACCGAAAGCGAAGTTTCGTCCTATGTTTAGTCCCAATTATGAGACACAAATCTTGACATACTCCTGCCTGTGCTTGTGACATTTGACAGGTAAGAGTCTCCTCAAGTCGGGGTTATTTATTTTAAGCTATAAATGTGACATCTTGTGGGCTCTTCAATGTCAATGGATATAGCTATTTAAATACAAATTACTATACTGAAGGTAATATTGTGAAAAAATGAGTAAGGCGGGAGCATGACCTCCCAAGATACAGCTTGAGCCTTTAGACTTAGTAACTCCCAGAAACTTAGAAACCCAAGTTTGAGAAACACTGCATTTAAAATTAAAAGTTGTCCTTTAGAGAACCATTCAGCACAAAGTCGTTCGTGAGGACAATGGAATACGCCCAGCACTGACAGCAGCGAGGGGAAAGGGGTAGGGGGTTGTGTCTGTTCTTGCCTTCCTCCTCTCCTCCACTCCTCCTCTCCCATCCTGCTGCTGTCTCCGAGAAGGGGTGCGGTCCCCGTCACTGTCGTTCCTCTAAAATAGCTGTTGTTCACTCTGTTAAGGCAGGTTTTGTCTTGGGTCTCCTTGGTGGAGTTTTTGCATCCCCCAACGCAGATGCTCTTGCAGCTGACTTCTTTTAAAATCCCCTTTGTGGTTCACACCACACAAACTCCTGTTGAGGTCCCCTGCCCTCCAGAGAGGGACCCGTCTGTTCACTCAAGCACATCTCGTTCATCTGTGCAATATCCTCAGCCCATGAAATCACATACCCTTCCTTCCCAAATGGCATGTTTTTCTGTTGCCCTTCCTCTTTGCGGCGCTGATGGATTAACTCCTGCCAAACTCCGGCCTTTAGAATTCTTAAGGCAAGAGTCATGCAAGAGTCTCTCCACCAGGAGGAGAGAGGAAAAGCCACTCACAGGCTCACATGCACTCACATACGTATGTATTCCTGATGTATGTCAAAGAAAACTTCAAGAAATCTTTATTCCTTTTAGACTGTTGGAAATTACCGTCCCTACACTTTATGGATGCAATGAGGATTCTATCACCCACTGTTCTCAGCTGAAATTCTGTGAAAACAAGGAAAGCAACATTCCCTTTCTACTTTACAGGCCTGGAAGTTATCGTAAAGCAAAAATGAGACCGGAATTCTTCATACATAAAGCATTCACTGATACAGAGGAAAAACCATTGGACAAGCAAGAACATCACCATTCACACACTGTCTCCGTGTCTTCCCAGCTGCACTCCTGGGTAAGAGTAGCTTTACTTCAGTAAACTTCCTGTTACTCAGCTAGAAAATGAAAAACACACATATACACATACATCTAGAGTATCTGGGACAGGATATCTAGACTATTTAGAACAATATCTCCCTTATCATCAAATTGAATGCTACAAATTAAAGCATTTTATGAGAAAGACATTGCTAAATCATCACCTCCTTAAATGCAGGGACCACGTCCCATTTCCATTTCCATAGCAAGGGCTCAAATGTTCACCAAATGGATAAGTTTTTGAATGAACTTAAAGTGGAAGACATACTAAGACGGCAAGGATGTGAGTGACACCCAAATACCTCTGCGTCCTAATGCCCAGAACTCGTGACTAGGCTTTGTTGCGTACAGAAAGAGAGTTAAGGTTGCAGATGGGATTAAGATTGCTAACCAGCTGACCTTAAGACAGGAAGAGTGTCCTGGGTTATCCAAGTGGGGCCAATGTAATCTCCAAGCTCTTAAAAGTGGAAGAAACCATGACAGGCTGGGAAATTTTTCAGTGCTTGCCATACCCCAATTTTTCTTTCACCTGCAATGAAATTGATGAAAGTGGTTAATTTTCAGTTTCATTCCTGAAACACAGCCCTACAAGATTCTGTCCCGTGATGGGTATACTCTATCCGTATATGCATGCAACAGCAGAAGGAAACTGAAGCACATGATGTTTTGCCAAATTCTTTGTTGCACACGTACAAACATGTGCGTGTGTGTGTATCCGGCAAATTGCGCATGCCTACCCAGCCACATCAGTGAGGAGAACTAGCCTGTGGCCCAGAGCTTTCTATCTTTCTTCCCTGCCATGCTCAGCATGTCTCTCATCTGCAGACTAGTTCCCATTGTCACAAGCTGGCTGCAGCCTTCTCAGGACCCCATTCAGACACAACAGCACTGAGCAGAAGGAGAGGGACCGTTCATCTGTGTGCCTCTGATAATAAGAGAAGAGCCTTTTCTCCAAGAACCCGAAGGCTTCTCACATCTCACTGGGCAGAAATACAGGGACATGCCCACATCAGATTCAATAACTGACAAGGATACTGGATCGCAATGACTGGCTTAGATCAATTAGAATTTATTGCCGGGGCCTGGATAGTGTGTCTTTCTCAAGTCACATGAGTTGGGGCTACACACTGGATTACAATAAAGGCTCTACAGCAGGAGAAAAGGTAGGAACAGCTTTTAGGTAGGCAAACAAGATTTTTTTTTTCTGGTAACACTTCTTGAAACTTCGACATGCTTCCCAACGTGTAGGGAAGAACACCAACTGCAATTGTCCACGGCCAATCTTAGATCATCTCGACTAGCCTATAATGCTATCCCATCCCAGGAAGAGGGTGAAACTTCACTTTAAACGGTGCTAAATTAACTGATTCCATTTAGTCTGCTTTTTATGGGGCTAGAGAAGAAATAAGGTGGGAGCCACAATTCATTTCTTCTGAGAAATTGGGCGATTATACTCACAACCTACTCTGAAAGAACACACACAGTGGCCTGCTATGTACGCTCCCTTTCGTGTATGCCATCAAAGTTTCTGCTGGCCACTTCAGGACAACTCTCAAGACGGCACAAACCTAACAGTAATCACACATTGCTTGTTTTAGATAGAAAAATATATTGTAAAGCAATCTAAGCAATCTTTCATCTAACAAATATTTATTGAGCTCCTATTACATTCTCTTGCCTGGGGTTATATGGTAATAATGATTGGCAAAAACATACATAATTCATGACCTTGTGGAGCTTGAGTCCAGTAGGGAAGACAGGCAATGTTGGCTAACAATAATAATAGAAGCAAATGTAAAATTATCACTGATAAGTGCCAAGAAATAGATGCAAGGTGGGTCCACAAAGGCACACTCGAGGAGGTAAAGCTGGAGCTTATCTTGTGGGAAGATAGGAGCCAACTTGGTAAGTAGTGGAGGGGCAAGAGAGTAATCCAGATAGAAGGAGCCTCATGTGAGATTATTCTGTGGCAAGAGAGAGCATGGCCAGAGAGGTTAGAGCATAGATGAGTGAGGGAGGTGGTGCAGGAGAAAGTCAGAGTTTTAAGGGAGGGGCCAGATCATACAGGCACAGGTGACTTATGTTTAGAAATGGAGTCTTTATCCTAAATAGAAAGGGGAATTTCTGAAGTGTCTTGTCCAAGGAGTGGTATCATCAGATTCATATTCTGCCAGGGTGAAGGTCAGATTGCATACAAGAAGGTCACTTTTAAGGCCAATAATGCAATATACCACGTAAAAAATTGTGTCTAGACTATGGTAGAAACTGATAGAAGAATTCAAAAGATGCTCCAGCGGTAAAGATGTCAGAATCCAGTGGTAGATAGGATGAGAGATAGACTAGCATGTCCAAATGCATGGTGGTACCAGTCAATGCAAAGGGAACGGGGAAATAGGACTTGGGATGGAGGGGCTATCCAAAATACACGAAGGTCTCATACAACTCAATAACAAAACAAAACAAAACACGGTCTGATCTTAAAATGAGTAGAGGCTCTGAATAGACATTTTTCCAAAGAAGACATACAGGTGGCCAACAGCTACTTGAAAAGATGTTCAACATCACTCATCATCAAGGAAATGCAGATCAAAGCCACAGTGAGATATCACCTCACATCTGTCAGAACCGCTATTAAAAAGAAGACAAGAGATAACAAGTGTTGGTGAGGACATGGAGAAAAGGGCACCCTTGTACACCGTTGGCGGGAATGTACATGGGTGCAGCCACTGTGGAAAACAGTGTGCAGGTTCCTCAAGAAGTTAAAAATGGAACTACCATATGATTCAGCAATTCCACTTCTGGGTATTTATCCAAAGGAAACAAAAGCAGCAACTTGAAAAGATAGATGCATCCCCATGTTCACTGAAGGATTATTTATAATAGCTGAGCTATGGATACAACCTAAGTGTTCATTAATGGATGAATGGATAAAGAAGATGTGATATATAGATATAGATATCCACTATATATATATAGAATGTGGGAAGTTATTCAGCTGTAAAAAGGAAGGAAATCTATCCCATTGCCATGACACGGATGGCCCTTGAGGGCACTGTGCTAAGTGAAATAGCCAGACAGAGAAAAACAAATACTGCATGATCTCACCTATATGTGGAAGCGCAAAACTGGTGACTTCAGTGAAAGGTGTTGAGAATACCTCTGTCGAGCCAGAGGCTACATAGGAATGGACTGGGCAGTAAGTGGGAGGTGAGGAAGTGGATGCTGTGACTCCAAGTCTTCTCTGAAGGAGTCTGAGGGTGGAGGAGAGAGATACAGAAGGGTAGCTGAAGCAGTGTATGAGAACCAACTCTAGTTATTTTAATGGGAGAGTCTTTAATATATTTAAAAGCTAACAGGAGGATTCAGTGAGAAGTAGAATGAAGTTACAAGACAGAGAAGGGGTTATTAATAGTGTAGTAAAGAACTGGACAAAAAACGGGAAGATGGAATTTGAAATACAAGTGGGGGGACTGGCCATTGAGGAAAGAGAAATCTAAGCTGGGAATGGTAAGAGTAGAGGCCCAGGGTACTGGGAGGAGCAGAGCGTGAGGAACCTGTCTGTGCCAGTGAGGTTCAAAGTAGTGGAAAGTGACGACCACGTGATCTGGAACAAGGGAAGGCTGTGGTCAGAAGGTGAAATGCTGTCATTTCTGCCTCTGGAGGTGAGGTGACGGATGATGGCAAGACGGAAGTTACGACACTGAGAGTGACTATTCACGTGGTGTGCAGAGCACCTGCGTGAGAGAACGCTGGACCGGAGGGGCTGCCATCATTAATTGTACCAATGTTGAGTTGTTGAAACTTCAAATAATGTTAGGATAACATCTTCTCTGATTTACAGGTGCATGTTCTTTAAGAAATATTCCTTTTCCTAACGTCCGTAGTTGTTTCTGGAATAGTCTGTCTTATTTTCTAATTGTATGAAATGGAAATTTAACTTCCAATATACGAGCTAACTTTTCAGATGTTGAGCCTCTTCAGCCCACTAAGAATGGATTATTCTCTATCTCATTTCCTAAAGAGCCATAGGAGGATTAACAGGGTGGAAATTATGCCTAAAAGTCAAGCTTCTTACCTGGTTTTTGGTTCATAACCACTCAATCAGAACCTTTCTTTCCACAGCTTTGCCGTCAAAGTAAATGTTAAATGCTCTGAGAATGCTGTCCAAAATAGTGTAGAAATTGTCAGTGTCAGACTGCGATGAACCACATTCAATTCTCTCAAACTAAAGCCATCTAGTTTTCATAGCAGGGGAGATATTTTATTAGTCTGTTTCCAAGTTTTCCACAAGACAAGCACAGTCATTATGTTAATATAATGGGTTGAACCTTTATCAAATAAACTTAGAGAGCCTAAAATATATGAGTATATAATTAAACTTTGCAGTATTGCTGTTGAGCTCTACAAAAGCTTCTGATACCTCGTACCAAGAAGGTTTACCCAGAAGAACTCTTCCCTTCATATATTCTTCTCCAGATTTGGCAAGAGACAGCTTCCCAGGCACTCACAACAGAACACTTGTTACCTCTGTGAAATGGAAGCTAATGAAAGTAGCTACATCTAGAGCTTTCCTTATTGGCACAATTATATGACCACATGAGTATAAGGAAGCATGCCCAATCCCCACTTTGAACACAAAGATTTCAGTTCCAAGATTTCTGTTGAATGTCCCATTTCAGGATTCTGAGCAAGTCCTACATACAGTGGGTCAAGGGAAATCCAGTCACATTTGGTGATGGGGTGGGGGAGGTGCAGAGGGAGGGATGGAAGGAGGGAGAGGGAAAGCGATTGATTTTAGGTCGGGAGACTCTGAGACCAGAAATTCTTCTCAAGTCAACCTGCCCACCGTTATGCTTACCCATGGAAGTAAATGGCTAAAAAGAACAGGAAATACTAGAGGGTAACAACGGGTCAAACCTGTAATTCTCTCCATGAGATTTTCCTCCTAGGCTGAATATCTCCAAACTTAGATCTAGT